TGGCAGAGTTCCTCCTTGCTGAGTATTCCATCAGAATCCTCAATAGAGTTTGGTGCAAAAAACCTGGCATTGGTTTTAAAGTGTACTAGTCATTCTTAACTGCTTGTGGGATTTCTAATAAAAGTTTCTGGGACAGTTCTTTTAGGATCTCTCCCAGTGGGATTGTTAGGTCTATCCTCTGTTAATTCAGGTAAAGAGGTAGAAGTGTTGGCATTCTTCAGATTTTCTCACAAAGTAACTCCAACTCATACTGGTGGGCATATTCTAAAACCTGTATTAGACCTTACTGGCTTATGAATTTCTCATAGGACATGAATTATGACATAATCATTTTTATGTCTTGAAATTGCCTGTTTTATCATTAAATGAATCATCTACCACATCAAGTTGCTTTCAATGCAAAGATTTTCAGATAGCTGATTGTATTGTGACCTTTTGACCGCTGAGTATGAAAGGCAGGCCTCACTTGGAGAGCTCACTGGAAAATAAAAGGGTGACAGGAAGATGGAGGTGGTAGAAACAACAAAGGGCTGTGGTTATGCTACCCAGCTTTACAGAATGGGGAGAAATAAGAGGAAACTGCACGCCAGAGGATAAGGAAAGGGTAAATACACTGAATAGGTTTTGGTTTTATCCCTGGAGACTAGTGGTTTTCCTTTTGTGTTGACCAAAGGTCCTATCCTGGGTTAACTTAGCTCAGTATTTTCCGTGTTCTTGGCGGTGATTAAAGGAATTGTGCAAATGATTCATATTTTGTGGAGATAAGTGTGGATGAAGACTGTATTTATGCTCTATTCAATTAGCCTATTCTCACTGAATTGTTTTTCATAAATATTAGAAATTATTTAATATTCATTGCTTACATTTAAAATAGATTCTAATGTTTTGTTACCTTTGCTAAAAAAAAAAGACAAGCACTGGCATATCTAGTTCATCCAAGTGAGAAGTAATTTCCAATGGCCAGTCTTTTTTAAAAAATTATTTATTAATTGAATCACAGTGAGATAGTTACATAGTTGCTCATCATTAGGTTTCGGTCACACAATGTTGCAACACCCATCCCTTCACCAGTGTACATTTCCTACCACCAATGTCACCAGTTTCCCTCCTACCCCTACCCCTTCCCGCCTCTACAGGCCAAAGTCACTTACATTTTTTTGGGCCACACCCAGTAATGCTCAGGGATTATTCCTGGCTCTGCATTTAGAAATTACTCCTGGCAGTGCTGAGGGGACCAAATGGGATGCTGGGACTGAACCTGGGTCAGTCATGTGCAATTCAAGCACCCTATTCTCTGTATTATTGTGCTGTCAATAGGGAAATATGAAGGAAAAAATTCCAAATGGTTCTTTCTGTTCAAAGAGCCCGGTAGGTTCAGAGTTGATCCAGATTCTCCTCTTCTAAGAAGGCTTATTGCTGTGAGGACAGAACCTTGGGCTGCAGTGCTTACCTTTCTCTTCACTACTCCAACTCCAATCTTGGGTTTGAGCCACACTTATCAGGAAATGGGTTACCTGAGAAATTAGATTCTCAAGTGATACGAAGTGTGAGACTAAAATGCAAATATTGGGGCTGGAGCGATAGCATAGTGGGTAGGGCGTTTGCATGCGGCCAACCCAGGTTGATTCCTGTCATCCCATATGGTCCCCCGAGCACTGCTAGGAGTGATTCCTGAGTGCAGAGCCAGGAGTAACCCCAGAGCATCGCCAGCTGTGACCCCCCCCCCCCAAAAAGCAAATATTAGTTCTGCATAGGCTTCTCTTAGACTTTGTTGCCTGTTCACTCAATCCAGTAAGGAGGGCTGGGGCTCAAAGAATTAACAAGACTTTCTTCTCTGAATCTAAAAATTAGTTCTTAGTAGCCATTTGTAGCTTCTTCAGAGAAAGAAAGAAGAAACACTAGACTTTATTACTCGAACCTTCTATAGATTTTTGTCTCTCATTACTCCAACCTGCTTCCCACCTATTCTGCTACTGGGAAGCCAGAGAGAGTACTGGGAAGGATACAAGTGAGGGGGGACCTGGAAAACTTGTCATCAGAATAAAGGTTCAAATACCCAGTTATTTTTAGTCTGATTATAGATATGTTCAATGGTCAGAACTAAAGTGTCTTTATTGTGAAATGGGAGGGGAATGGGATTAAAAGCATAGGTTTGGAGACAAATAACACTTAGGTCAGTGCATGGCATCTAGCAGGCTTCCAATAAATGACACATTTAGTTTAATTTCATTTCTGCAACAAATTGCCTCTGCAAATTTTCCTAAAGTGTCACTGAGTGATCAGGTTGGAGGTGTTTCTGCCAGGAATAGTTTAAAGTGTGTGCACTATAGTGTGGAAGGGTCTCGATCAGGTAAATCAGAGCTGGCAACCAAAAGTCCCATTTCTGAATAGGCCCAGGACATGCTCTCCTAAGGGAATATGGAAGAAACACCAACAGCAGAGGTTGGGTGGAACAAAAAGTCCCTGCACACCAGTGTCCATTGCACTGGCCAGTGACTAGCCCGGAGATCCACACCCCCTCCAATGGGCCATTCTTTTTCTCCTCATAAGTGTGTACCATTGATACATTTCATGAATGAAAGACAAATATTTAATGTACCTGAGTGATACATGAGTCAGTGATAGGATATTTACTTTCATTATTTTTTGTTTTGTTTTGTGGTCACATCTAGCTGTACTCTGGAGTCACTTTCTCCTGTTGGTCTGGGAACCACATGTAGTGCTCAGGGTGGGCTGTGCACAGGGCAAATGCCTTACCCCCTGTACTATTTTCCCAGCCCACCTGCTGCAAATTCTTTAAAATGTGACTTTTGCATCACAGTTCTCATCTTCTCAGCACCACCACTTGGCTGCCATCTATTTCCCAAGGGCATCCACCACTCAGCCCAACAAAGGGGCATTAAAGCAGTTCCATGCATAACGCTTTTTAAAATATGGAGAAACAGGGACTGGGAACATAGCACTAAAGGAATGAGTGCACTTAATGCACGGGGTAGTCCTGCATCACGTGGTCTCTTGAGCACCCCAGGGAATGACAGGCCAGCAGCACTGGGAGCAGCCCCCTTTACCAACAGAAGCACTCAGCTGCCCACCCCATCTGCCCTCTAATATGAACTAGTAACCGACTAAATACCACAGCACAGGTCAAAGAAAGGAGTAGGGCAGCGGATAGGGCGCTTTGCCCGGTGAGGGGACAATGGGTTCGAGCTCCAACATCCCATATAGTCCTAACCTTCCGGCCCCCGTCAGGAGTGACCCCTGAGCACAGAGCCACGAGTAAGTCCTGAGCACCTGCAAGGCGTTGGCCCCCAGAGCCCAAAACGCAAAGTAGATGCCAAGAATCCAAAGGCTTATAGAGCCTGTGGGCAGTTACCCCCATATTTCTGATGCTCCGTCACTGTATCAGCTCCTTACTTCTCTCTTCCCCTTGGGGACCGGAGTCTGTGTGTCTTTCCCAAACAGGCAGAGAGCCCTGGCCAGATCAAAGGGCTTTAACCTCTTGGTGGCGGCTTCTACATAAAAATTACGGGCCAGAGCGATAGTTACAGCGGGGAGGGCACTTGCCTTGCACGAAGCTGACCCGGGCTCCATCCCTGGCATCCCGGCCACGTTTCAAAAGCATCTCGCGGGCGCCCCATCCCCTCTCCGTGGCCTTCTTCCCTATTTGGGAAAGGGTGGGAAGGTTCTTCGAGAGCCCTTTCGGTTTTCCCAAACCCCAGGCTAAGAAAGAGAAAGTCACGGGCTCTCTAGGCCAGCACTGGTGGAGGGAGATCATCAATTTCCCCAGCGTTTCCCAGGCGCATTCCCCCCCACCCCCACGCCCCCCGGCACTTTCCCACAGCTGCAGCCCTTTAGCAAACCCGCCTCCACGCCACTCGATTCCCAGCACGTTACAAACCCGCGGCGTTTCGAAAGCAACAACGCCCGGCTCGCCAGAGAGGGGCCCGGTCTCTCTCTGCCCCCCACCGACTCCACTCGAGGCAGGGGGGGGGCTCTGCAGTGAATTCCGCACGGAGAAGCCCCCCCCCCCCCCCCGAGGGGCGCCTCCTCGCCGCCCACCCGCTCCCGACGGAGCTCAGCTCGCAGAAGCAGCAGGGGTCATCGCCAAGCCGCGGGCGCGGCTCGAAAGACAAGCGCCCGGCAAGCCGAGGTCCCGCTTCCTTTCCAACCTTTCAAACATCCAACCCCTCTAATCTCTACCCCCCACCCCCCGCACCCGGGAAAGCTCCAGGTGCAGCCTGGGGGACGCCCCCCCCGACTTGTCCCCCAGGACTGCGCCCCCAGGCCCAGGCCCCGAGCCGCTGGGGGTCCGGCGAGGCCCGCGCCCGGGCGGCCGAGAGCTCCGGGCCGCGCCCCCGGAGGGGTCCCCAACGCCCGGACCCCCGAGGCTCGCGCGAACGCCGCGGCCCGCGCCCTCCCCCGGCGGCCACCACGCATCTGCTTCCAGGGCAGCGGGAAGGGGCGGCGCCGCGGCGGGGCGGGGGCTGCGGCGGGCGCGGGCGCAGCTCATCCTCCGTGGCCCCAGCGCGCGTCCGCCGCCGCCGCCGCCGCCGCCGGCCCTGGGCCGCGCCCACGCCCGCCCGCCGGCTCCCCAGCTGCCCCGCCGCGCCGCCGCTCCCTCCTGTGAACCGGAAGCGCTTGGCGAGGCCGCCGCGGCCGCCGCAGCGCCCGGCGCCACCGAGCGGGAAGCGCGCGCGCGGGGCGGGCGGGGGGAGGAGGGAGGCGGCCTGCGCGGCGCCGCCCGCCATGGCCGCGGCGGGGTGAGCCGGGCTCGGCGGCCGCAGTCGCGCGGACCCGAGCGCTCCGCCGCCGCCGCCGCCACCGCCGCCGCCGCCGCCGCCGCCGCCGGGCACCTCCGCGGCGCGGGGAGGGCGATCCGGGCTCGCCGGAGGAGCCGCCGCCACTCGTGTCCTGCCTGCCGGCGCCCATGGCGCGGCCCCGCCGCCGCCGCCGCTGCTGCTCCCGCTGCTGCTGCTGCTGCTGCCGCCGCCGCCGCTGCTGACCCGGGGCCCGGCCGCGCCTTCCGCCCCCTCCCGCGGCGGCGGGCGGGCCTCCCCTCCACGCCCCCGCCGCCCGCGCCCCGCGCCGGGGGACGGCGAGGAAGGCCACAGCCGCAGGCGCCGCGGGGTCGCCGAAGATGGGGAACACGACCTCGTGCTGCGTGTCGTCCAGCCCCAAGCTCCGGAGGAATGCCCACTCGCGCCTCGAGTCCTACCGGCCCGACACGGACCTGAGCCGCGAGGACACCGGCTGCAACCTGCAGCACATCAGCGACCGAGAGAACATCGACGGTGAGCGCGGGGCGCCCCCCACCTCCCCGCCCGCGGTCTGCTCCGCCTGTCGCCGCCCCCCACCCCGTGCGGGACTGAGACCTCGGCCTCGCCCGCCCGCCCGCCCGCCGGGGCCCCGCAGGGACTCCGGCCGGCCCCTCTCCCCGCACCCCGGCCCGGTCCCGCGAGTGCTTGGCGGGGAAACTTTGCCGGGTCGCGGGCCGATGGGAACCGGCTCCGCGGGGGGCCGCTCTCCGCGGCGGGGTGGCCGGAGCGCCCGGGCTCCCTTGCACGCACTTGCCCGCTGCAACCCCGGGCCAAGTTCAGGCGCGACGATCCGGGGAAGCCGGGGTGCCAGCCGAAAGGGCCTGGGAAGGCTCCGCGGGACCTCGGGCAGGCCGGAGGGGGCCTGTTTCCAATTTGGAAATGTAACCCCCACCCCCTTCCCGACCACCTGTGGTTGGAACCCCTGCCTGGGTTCCCCGGAAACTTATGCATCGACCCCCCCCCCCATCCCCTCCCTACACACACACACGCACACGCACACGCACACGCACTCACACACACACTCCTGGCAGTTAAACAATTTGTTAGAAAACTCAAGAATTTGGGGTCCGGGGGTTGGGGGGAGGGTGGTTTGCCCGGCTCTGGAAGGGTTGGAATCAGCTAGCATGGCATGAATACGGAAAACTGTTCTCTATAGAGGATTACCTGATGGTTGGGAGAAGGTTTAGGTTGGCAACCCGTTTTTTGGCTTGGGGCTAAATTACAGTCCACGGCTGTCTGATTGCGGGGAGTGACTTCTGTTTGGACTAGAATTTGTGAAGGAAGTTAACTGGTCACTGCACCTAAGTAGTGTTTATTGTCCGTAGAGTACCCTTATTAGTATTATTTTATTAGTAACTCATGCGGCTTAATGTCTACAGATGGGCAGCTATGCATTATGTAATTTTCAACTTAAATGAATTTAGAATATTTTTTATGATGACTTCATTTTTCTTTTTGAACTGAAACGTTCCAGTTGATGTAAATGAACTAATCTGAATTTTTTTTATTTATATGAATGAACTGATACAACTCAGTCATGATTCATTTCTGTCAACTTTTGGAGGAGCAATCTGGGGCAAACTTAAACTTTTCTAAAGGAAGGTATTTTTATTTAATCTCTTTAGGACAGTGATCTTCTTGAATGAGTACCTCATGTTAAAGATTTAATGTTAACATTTATTATTGACTAAAGTCACTACTTATGGTTCAACATGCAAGTCTAGTGTTATTATTTTAGGCTTACATTATCATTACATCCCTTAAATATCTTTGAACTACAGCCATACTAGAATCTTGAAATGTATAATGTTATCTAGAAGGATATCAAGGCCATCTGTTGTGATCACTGCAGTAGAATGAAGCACCTGAAACACATGACTAGTATATAATAATGACTTAATGCCATTTTAAAGGATTAAATGAATGAGTTTATAATTCATAGCCATTATCCAGTCTGATATAACCAGACAGGCAAAAACATTTGGAAATAATTTATCCTTTATGTAGTTTACAAGTATCAGGTAGAGACTTAATAATTTAAATAGTGGAATAAAGAAGTTCAAAGGAGGATATGAATTTTTATAATAATACTATACAATAATATTGCATAGTATTATTGGCTATAGTAGGAAAACAGGGAAAAATAAGTAATTGTAAATAGCTATTTGGAAGAAAGGCTTGGAAGGATTTTGCTGATAGAATAATATACTGTCTATACCAACCACTGGATCCTGGCCCACAGGTATATAGGAGAGGACCTGTTTGCAGGTGTAGAAAGGCTGAAGAAGGCGCCAGTGCAGGTTAAGAGAATTTCTAATCTAGGCTGTTGCGTCCTCACACCTCGGAGCCCAGTTCACACTCATGTGACAAATAGTTGAAAGAACAGTTTAAACCTGGAAATACTAACTTGCCATTCTCTCTCTTTTGATATCATTAACTAATACTTCGAGGGTTTTTATCTCCCCAGTATTGGTTTCAATTAGACAATTTGAAGATGCAGTCCGGGCTGAGAAGTGCTAAGTCTTGGAATTGTTATCTATTTTTCAAGGATATTTTTAGCATAAAATCAGTAGCAGAGACTGGGAGAAGTGATTTGGTTAATTGGTATACATAGATGTTCATCTTTATTTTAACTTATAAACTATAATACTTGTTGGATGAGTCAACATTTTAAAATTACATATCAAGAATTCTTAGACCAGAGAGAGAGAGTACAGTGGACAGGACTCATGTCTTGCATGTAGTTGACCTGGATTTAATCTCTGGTACTCAGTTGTTCTCCCAAACCCTGCCAGGGAGTGATCCCTGAGCACAGAGCCAGGGATCACTGAGCACTTCTGGGTGTAGCCCCCAAATAAAACAAAAACAGTTTGATTTCTCATATATAACAAAAGCTGAAGTGCTCAAATAACCATCTTTTTTTTTTTTTTTAAATGAACTGAAAAGCATCCTGGACAACTAGAATGAAACCTCTGGGAGAAGTTCATGGGGCCTCTGTGCTTCGTCAGTTTCTTTAACCCCAGTGATATCAGATACCTATCCATGTTTTCACCACCCAAGCATGCCCTGGTGATATTTATCCTGGAGAATTTCAGTGACTGAATCAGGGTGTTAGGCTTCCATGATACCTTCTGGCAACTTACCTTGTTTTTCTGCTCAATGTCAGTGTATTTTAGTGTTATGATTTTGAAATCTGCCTGAGACTTTATCAACTTATCAGCTACTTCTCATAACGTCATTGAAATTGAGAAGTAACGAAACCATTTAGCAACAGATGGTAATAATCGGAACCATTAGTGTATTCTGTGCCTAGTGTTAATCTGAGGAGTTGACATATATTCTTTAAAGAAGTGTGTGTGTGTGTGTGTGTGTGTGTGTCTGTGTTTGTGAGAGCGAAAAGACTTGTCCTAAGTGTGAAATGAAAACTTTCTTTTCTGTGGCTTTTTTTTGGGGGGGGGGGTGGCACACACAGCTGTCCTTACTCCTGCCACTGTGCTCAGGGGTCACAGTTGGGGCTCAGGGCTGCATATGTGGTATTGGGATTGAACTTGGGTCAGCCGTGTGCATGGCATTATACTCATGGTACTATCGCTCTGGGGCCACGAATGGAAGCTTCTTACTGTTGCCCGACTATCTTTCAAACTTCGCTAGTCAGGGGTTCCCTTTTGGGGTAGTTTGTTGTCATTGCAGTTGCATCTAGGATTCAGAGAATGAACTTTATTAGCAACAGATCAGAGGTCTCTGGTTAGATTATATTTATGGAAGGAGAAAGTGAGGGATGGATTAAAGAGAATTTAAAATTCAGTGATATCAAATAAATCCCGATAGCTCTAATGTGGTTACCATATTGTCAGTTTGCCCAGAATGATGATAGCAACTGCTTCCTTTGTGGGTCAGTCATCCTTCTTGATAACCCAACTTCCTTCTTATCCTATACCCAATCTCGCAGGGAAGAATGGCTCTCTCCTTTGAAAATTTGTCCAAAATTCGGCCACTTCTCAGAACCTCTCCTGCTTTTCTGGTTTAAGCAGCCTTGATCTTAGCCAACCTGAATGGTCTCTTTGCTCCCATCTTTACCTCCCACAGTCTGTTGCCAGTACGGCAGCCACAGTGAGCACCTTCTAAAAGCTTTAACCCATGACTCCACTGCCTAATAACGGAGTGATTCCTTATTTCACATTCAATAAAAACCTTACAATGAATTTTTATAGTGGAATCGAATCAATGATTCCAAGGCCCTTTGTGATCTGTTCGCCTCCCCGACTCCCTCATTCACTCACTGGCTAGCTTGTTTCAGCCTCACTGGCTTTCTGCAGAGCTGTTCCTTGATCTTACCGGACATGCCCTCACCTTAGGTTCTTTGCTTTATCTCGATGCCTGGAATGCCCTTCACCATGTATCCTGAAGGCTAATTCCCATGCTCCTTTAGTCTTAGTTCACATCATACTTTTTCAGTGAGGCCTTTGTAAAAGCCTCTTGTCACATTCCTCCTGCTACCTCATCAGCAATCCTAATATATTTCCGGCACAGTTTTAGTTCTGCCACCTATAAAATAAGTGAGTGTATGTATATGTGATGTATTTCTGCCTGCTGGCATGTGAACGTTATTTTGTTTGCTGATAGATCCCGAGTGTATTCATACTTGTTGAGTGAAGCCAACCACATATGGACATGGGACCATCACATGTGCACTTATTGATGACAAGAAGTAAAAATGGGAAGAAGAGAATAAAAAAGATGTGAAGCTTTTTGAGTATTGTTTGCATTTTAACCTGACAGGTAGCAGATAGGGTGAAGTCCTAAAAAAGAAACTCAAGATTTTAAAGCATTAACAGTTGCGGGAAAACAACAGCAATAGCAACAACAATAACAACACCCAAATGGAAAGGAAATCCTGGCTGATGGAAGTCTGTATCACTGTGTGGTATGTTTAGTCTTTTCCTGTCTTTGCAGATGAATGGCTTTACATGTGACCTTAAGTCCCTCAGGGTCAAAATAATGTGAACGCATTTAAATTAACCAAAAAAAGCAATAGCTGAACAAACGAAGTTATGAACATAGCCATTCGTGTTGGTTTTCTTGTATTAAACGTGGAATTATAGTCTAGGCTATACAAGTGATTGAGCTTCCCGTAGAGGAGAAGGAGCCTAAGGAGCCCATCTCAGGCCCAGGAAGAGGAATTGTGTCGAGACAAGGAAGCAGAGTAAACTCCGAGCTCCTGTCACTGCAGTTGGTTTCCTTCTGTATTGACAACCCATCCAACCATATCTGTTCAGTGTTCTTTCTCTTGAGTCAGTGTCCCACCTTAATATGTCTCTTTTTTCCCCTTTTGGACTTTGGGCCATACCTGGTAGTTTTCAGGGCTCACTCCTCTGTGTGCTCAGGGATCACTCCTGCCAGCACTACAGGGCCTAAATGTGGTTCAGGGGAGTGAGCTGGGTTTGGCCTCATGTAGGGCAAGGGTCTTAACTTCT